GGGGAGCAGCGGCCGCGCGAATAGCTCAGGGGTTGATTCGGGGTTTGATTTCTGGGGGTCTCGGGAGGCTGTGGAGGAAACTGGGAAGCCCATCAGGAAATGCTCTGGAACTGGAAGAGTTTCAGTTAAAGATTCCTGTCACAGAATCCCAAAATCCCAGATGGATTTGGGGTGGGAGGGAMCTTAAATCCCACCCAGCGYCACCTCTGCCAYGGTCAGGGACACCTTYCCCTGTCCCGGGGTTGTTCCAAACCCCRTCCAGMCTGGCCTTGGGTATTTCCAGGGATGGAGAGTCCACAACCCATTCCAGGAATCCGCACCCTCACCAGCCAAGAATTCCTTCCCGGYATCTTTATTAATTTCACAAAAATCCAAATTATTCATCCCTCCTCACCCCCCACCAATATCCGGTGTTTTTCACCAAAAAACGCTCAGAAAGGAGCATTTTTGGAGGAGGGGGAAGAACAGCGGAGAGCAAAGGAGGAGGGAACAACAATTCCCCACCCCGATTTGTCCCATCGGGAACAACAAGAGCTCCTTCAGCCGCTCCTGCTTTTCTGGGCGCGGCTGGAATTTTGCCCTGGAGTGACTCTGCCCCGGGCTGGTGGCCAGCGGCGAGGCACAGCTGGAGCCGGGAGCCTCTGGAATCGCAGCCCCATGGAATATCCCGGGCTGGGAGGGCCCCACAAGCCCGGCTGACCCCGCTCTCTGTCCCCGCTGTCCCAGGGCCGCYGTCCCCCCGCGCCCGTAGAGGCTCCGCAGGACCCGGCGCAGGATGGGAGGCACCGCGGGATTCATCCACGCTTCCCTGGCCSTGGGCACCTTCCTGGGTAAGAGATCGCCGCGGAAGGGGCGGGAAGGGCTGGCAGGGGTGGGGGATACACCAGGATTCACCGGGATTCACCAGGATTCACCGGGAATCGCCTCCCCGCCGTGCCGAGTCCCGATTCTCCGCGCGGTTTGGGAAGTGCTGCTCCGTGTCTGAGCTGTTCCCGACATCCCTTCGTGCCGGGAATGGCTGGGAAAGATCCCCATTCCTAAATAGGGATTTTGGGATTTTGTGGGTGGGATTTCCTCCTGCCTGTGGTACTTGCTGCATTCCCCGTCCCCGGTTTTTCAGTTTTTTTTCCAGGGATGCCTTGCTGGCCATAGCCTGGAGAGATCCCCCTGCTCCTCGGGGAGCATTTCTGGATCTCAGGGAGAAGTTCTGGATTTCAGGGAGAAATTACAGATCTCAGGGACATTTCTGGATGTCAGGGATTATTTCTAAATCTCAAATCTCAGGGACCATTTCTGGACCTCAGGGAGCAATTCTGGATTTCAGGGATCATTCCATATCTCAGGGAGAATTCCCAGATCTCAGAGATATTTCTGGATATCAGGGAGCAATTCTGAATCTCGGGGACAATTTCTGGACCGCGGGGAGAATTTCTGGATCCCAGGGAGAATTTCCCGATCTTGGGGACCATTTTCAGATCTCAGGGAGGATTTCAGGATCTCAAGGCCCATTTTCAGATCTCAGGGAGGATTTCTTGATCTCGAGGCCCATTTTCAGATCTCAGGGAGGATTTCTGCATCTCGAGGCCCATTTTCAGATCTCAGGGAGGATTTCAGGATCTCGAGGCCCATTTTCAGATCTCAGGGAGGATTTCTGCATCTCAGGGCCCATTTTCAGATCTCAGGGATCATTCCCGGACCTGGGGGAGGCTCGGGCTGCTCCCTGCGGGTCCCTTTTCCTCTCCAGCTGATGTCCTCCGGCTAATCCATCAGCCCGCCGGCTCGTCCTTATAAATATCCAATTACCCTTTAATGTTCGCTGCCTCCCCGAGGAGGCCCGGGCAGGGGGGGATCCGGAGGCAATTATCCCGCTTGGAAATTAGCCTGACCCCAAAGCGGCCACGGAGACGGGGCTGGGGTCTGCCATTAACCACCTGAGTTCAGGCAAAACCCCCCCAAAAAAAATCCCTCCCGGGGAGGGTGGGATGGCGGTGACCTCTGGCTGATGGAGCTCGGAGAGAAATCGTCACCGGGATTTCAGCAAAAAGGATGGCAGGGATGGATGAGGCTCAGGGAAATGTTATGGAGCGGGAAAAGAATGGAARGCTGCAGGTCTGGAGCAGGATTTAAATATTTAAAACTTCTGGAGGGCTTTTTAAAACCTAAAATTCTCCCCCTGGACTTTGTGCATTTGGGAAAACAGTCAGGAAAATCTGGGAATTGAAGGCTGGCCTTTTGTTTCTCAGTTTCTGGTTGAAAATAACCCAAAATAAACCATCGGTTCCTCTGAGAGCCGCTCCTCAAAAAAAAAAAAAATAAAAACCCAAATCTAGGGATTCTGGGCATAGATTTCCTGTCAAATCAATTAATCCAGCAGCCGTGCTGTGGATGCTCTCAGGAACGGGAATTTATCTTGGAAAACATTCCCCTGAGGAAATTCATCATTTCCTGGGCTCCGGAGCTGGGCTCAGCAAAAAAGGCCAAGTGCAGCCTCCTGCACACCTGCGATTTCCTAAAAATATCCTAAAAATATCCCAGAAATAACAMAAAAAGGAGGCTCTGGAGTCAGCTCCCCGCAGCTGCTTCTCCAAATCTTCATTTTCAGGTGTTCTGCTTTCACCTGTTCCCCACAATTTTGGTGCTAACAACGATTTTCCTGAAATAGTGAAGGTTATTCCAGTCCTGGTTGTGCTTTTTCCATCGTTCCACAGGACACGGAAAATTCCGAGTGGGTCACTTTCAAAATTCTTTTGAAATTTGGCTTAAAACTCTTTATTTTGTGCCTGTCCTCTCCCTGTTTTCCAAACGCCAGAGCTGCAGGASAGATCCTGCATTGACAACGTCAAAAATTGGGAATTCTGGGGTGGCAGAATCAGCCCGGAGCAGCCTCAGAAGTTCTGGGATTTATCAGTTCCTAATTTTAACCTTGTAACCGTTTAATTACTGCCTTAATCAACCCCTGTCGCGTTTAATGAGCGAAATCCAAGCGTGTCACCCCCGGCACCTTGGAATTGTGGATTAAAACTCACCTGAACTCCCGGCATCGATTYCATGCGGGAAAATCGATGCCTGGCGCTGGCAGTCCGTGACCTTGGCAGGGACAAAGGGACAGCAGAGGGACACGGGCTCCGGGAGGGATCGGCCCGGTTTGGAATGGGAACTGGAATAAATTGGCATCGATTGGAATAAAAAAATCCCACGGAAAAAGGGACAGGGATGGGAGAAGTAACAGTAAATATTTTATTCGCTAAATAAATAGAAATTATTTGCCTTATGTTCCCCTAATTAATCCCAAAATTAATTAAATCTCAAAATTAAAGCTGCTCCGCCTCAATCCTGTCACCGCCATCTATCAGAGCACAATTCATTCATCTATCAGCACTCAATTAATTCTCTCTCATTAATTCCCCATTAACTCATGATTATTCTCCCTCCCTGGTCAGCGGCGGTTTTTTTTTTTTCCAGCTGGGACTCTCCGAACAGGGGGAAGATTCCCAGATTTTCCTTTAGGAACGGAACCATCCCGGAAAGAAAATCAGCTCTGCCTGGGAAAGAATCCAACCTTCCGAACGCTGCTTTTTGTTAATTCCAAAGATCCCGAGCTCCGTGCCTCCCCCCGGGTGGCACCGGGGCCCATCCCGCCGCCGGAGCCGGGATAATTGCCCGGAGCARGGACGCGGGGAGCAGCTGCTCCCAGCCCGGAGCCAATTACCGGAGCCCCCATCCCATCCCCGAGCAGCCGGAACCCGAGAAAAAACCCCGGGAGCTGCGGGTCGAGGGCTGCTCCCCCCTCTCCGATCCCGGCCCGTTCCCGGCTGGGAGCGGCTTTTCCATAAAACATCCCCGGAATCATTTAGGAACGGCCCCGCTGAGCGCGGGGGGACGGAGACAGATTGGCGCTGGCAGCGCGGGCTGGAGACGCTCATTAATTCAATTACGGGGCAGGGGAGGATCCTGGAGCCGGGGAAGCGGCTCGGAGCTTATCAGAGCCCATCTCCTGATAAGGGACAGGCGGCTCCGGGGGGACAGGGACAGGCAGGACAGAGGGGTTGGCCTTGATCCCACTGGCTGTCCCCACAATAAAGGGATTTCCAGGCAGTCTCTGCCTCGCCCTCCTGCCCTGTCCCATCCCCTCGCCCTGGGGGATGTCCCAACCCACGGCAGGGGGACAATGGGACGAGCTTTAAGGTTTTTCCAACCCCAAACCAGTCYGGGATGGCCCTGTTTGAAAGGGACCTGCTGGAATTCGCCRTTTATCTGGCCCTTCCTGGTGCCACATTGTCCCCAAGGGGTGCTGGCACCCACGGGTGGCCCTGGCACGGCGGGGACAGGGCGGGCGGGGCCTTTGTCCCTCTTGTCCCTCCCCGTTCTCAAAACAAGAATYAACCCCGTGTCTGAACACCCCAAAAGCAGCTTCGGGCTTTCCCCAGCCACGGAACAGAATGGTTTGAACTGGTTTTCGCTGGTTTTTGCTATTTTTCGCTGGTTTGCCCTGGTTTGCACTAGTTTTTGCTGGTTTTTGCTGCTTTGCGCTGGTTTGCACTGTTTTTTGCTGATTTTCACTGTTTTTTTTTGCTGGTTTGTGCTGGTTTTTGCTTTTTGCTGATTTTTACTGGTTCTTGCTGCTTTGCGCTGGTTTGTACTGTTTTTGCTGATTTTCACTGTTTTTCTCTGTTTTTTCGCTCGTTTTCGCTGGTTTTTGCTGGTTTTCACTGTTTTTCGCTGCTTTGCGCTGGTTCGCGCTGGTTTCCACACCAGTAACCAACTGGTCCGAGGCGCTGGTGGCRCTGGTGGCGCTGCAGGGACAGAGGGGACCCGCCGGATGCGCTCCGAGCCCCGCTTTTTCTCCCCTCTCTCCTCCTGGGCAGGATTTGGGATGAGCGAACCGGGCAGAGGAGGATCCTCGGGGACAAAGGGACATCCCGGTGTTCCCAGCTCCGGTTCTGCTCCGAGGGGTCCCCGCTCCCTCCTCCGCGTGTCCCCAAATGTCCCGGTCCCCATGGCAGGGTGGGATGCCCGGTGTGAATGGCAGGGCTGCGATTGTCACCTCGTCCTCGCTGCTGTCCCCACGCCGCCAGGAACACCTCAAAAAACAGAAAAGGGGGATTTTTAGGAAAAGTTCAGCGGGTTTTCTCCTCTCACCGCAGTTTGGTGCCAAGCCCAGGGCAGCTCGAGGAGCTACGGGCCGGTGTTTGAGGAGCAGCCGTCGCACACCCTCTTCCCCGAGGGCTCCGCGGAAGAAAAAGTCACCCTGGCGTGCCGAGCGAGGGCCAATCCTCCTGCAACCTACAGGTGAGAGAGCTCGGGGCTCCCTCTGCGCCTGGAACGGGATAAAAACACCCCCCGAGTTCTGCTTTCCTTCCTGGAACGGGATAAAAACACCCCGAGTTCTGCTTTCCTTCCTGGAATGGGATAAAAACACCCCGAGTTCTGCTTTCCTTCCTGGAACGGGATAAAAACA